ATGAATGAAGCTGGGATTTAAAGAGCATAAATTAAGAAGACTAATTTCATAAATTTGGTTTATTTTCTTTTGATAATTGGTTAAGATGTGATCCAATTGATGCTTTTTTAAAACAAAAAAGCAATGATTCCTTAAAACAACTTCTAAGAAACTGGCAGAATTTTAATGTGTGAACAGGTAGAATTGGGTGTTGGCAGATTTGAATTGACAAAAGTTTGAAATGTGCTGGGGATTACTGTGATGAGCTGTGGGGCTAGCAATCAACCAACTGGCTGGGTTGTCCTCTTTTAAATGGTTAAAATTTGTGGCTGACTAGCCCTGGAAAACCAACAGCTGTATCAATGCAAGAATGGCTTTCTTAAAAAAAATTACTTGTCTTCTGATGTGGGGGTTGGGGGAGAGATTCAGAATATGGGAGCACAATTTTAAAATCAAAGGTAGGTCATTCTTAAAATGTGGCGTCACCTTTTTATACAAAATGGTTAGTGGAAATGTAAACTTTATTTCTGCAAAATGTTGTAATATTGAGGCAATTAAAATTGTAAAGACAAAAATGGATGGATTTTGTTTGGGGAAAAAAAGGTATCAAAGGTAGGTAAATAGCATTGAGGTCAAGATCAGCCTAGATTCAAAGATCTGTCATTTTCTGATATCTCTAAGAGGCATTCGTATTATTTCACTACTTCTATTTTGCTTTTCACTTTTTTCATTTTTCTCCTCTTCAGTATCTTTCTTTCCCCTTCTAACTGTTTTCCAGTCTTAAAATTGGAGCCTTTGTCTTTTTGTTATAATTTTGAAAATAAAATTAAAGATCGTTCCTCTCTCTTAGTGTTCAACTTCTTTAAAACTGGCTTGATGTTTCCTTGTTGCTGCTTTGACTTATTTAGTTATCCATTCGCTCTCGACAAACTTGGTCATGCGCTGTACTGTAGTGAGCCCACTAAAATTAATTAATCAGGATACACTGATTGGAATATACTGCAAGAATTTTCAAACTTTGAGTAATGGGTGCTTCCCAAAATTTTGTTTGGAACACTTCATGAATGACTTTGGCTGAAGTGGAATTTTTGGTGAGTATCCTACCTGCATGTGTTGCCTTCAGCAGTACTTTAAGCAAACCAAACATTAGTGCACACTAACTGAGTAACAAAATGCTAATGCTGCTAATTGTAGTTATTATTTCTAATATTTGTTTGTTTCAACATGTTGTATGTTATTCCCCTAATATGTATTCATTCTCTACACAGATGAACCTGGGCCTTCAAGAAATTTAAAAGTACATAACATAACCTACATACACAGGTCACATACATAAATTTCATGATTATCATGTAGCAGCATCAAACTTGAGATTTATGTGCCTCAAAAAGTGAAGGATCATCTGCATGTGACCCTTCACTAAGTACTGAAGATGTAACTAGTCATTTAGCTGAAAGTGAATTGAAGAAACCAGTGAAATTTGAACAATACTCCTGTATTGAAGTGCTAATGAACAAAGAGGTTGCAGTAACACAAACCAAGAAGTGATTTGTGATTATGTATGCTGTCAGATTGACTGGTATCTTTTATTTCCAAATATGAAAAAAAACTTACTCGTACTTTTATTACTTTCTGTACTTTTCTGGAAGTAGAGGAATCTGCAAGCTACCTCCAACCATTCCATCAGGTGAAGATGCAACAGATGTTGCCAGCAGGAAGTTTATTATTAGTGAAATTTCTCCTGTTCCCTCCAACCTCCCCATTCAACCAACCAACCAACCACCACCAGGCTATGTCCTCCTAGACAGGTTGCAACAATTTTCAGGTATCAAAATGGGGTCACATGTTTGAAATGCACTACTGGAGTGTAATAATTGGATCCTGGACCCCGCTTCCCTGTGGTAGCAATGAAAGGAAATGAATGAAGTTTGATTTGCAAATCTTATGTGCTGGTGCGTTATCTACTGCTAGAACTTGTGTCTCTCTATCTGTAAATTGCTGTGCACCTGCATGTGCCTCGATCCACTGGGAGGGAGAGGAAGCCTAACTCCTGCTTCACAGTATTTAAGATCAAAAATGTAAAGATTGGGCAAAATTGTTAGATGGGAGAGATGAAATTGTACTGAATATCTTTCCCATGCGTACAAAGTTTATTTACAAATGTAATTAAGTAGACGTAAAGCATTAAGACACCTTGTGATTGTAATTGAAGTTGATCCTACATGCAACAAGACCTGGGCAGCATTCAAACTTGGGCTGATAAGTGACAAATTATATTTAGGTAATTTTCAGCAAGAGTTTAACCTCCTCCCTTGACATTCAATCCCAGTATCATTGCTGTAACTCTCATCAGCAACTTCCTGAGGGCCACCACTGACCAGATGTTATTGGAGTTGCCAAATAAATACTGTGGTGATAACAGAAAGTCAGAAACTATGTATTCCACGGGGGGTTCACTTATCTACTGACTTTCTGATGTTTTCCCACCACCTACGAATTGCAAGTGAGAAGTGTAATGGAATACTGTCCAGTTGCTTGGATAACTTTGGCTGTAGTAAGCTCAATATTATTTAGGGCAAAGCAGTCTAGTTTATTAATCTAGTCTAGTTTATTAAGCAATACATTGTAATGATTTTGAATGAGAGAACTAAATGTAATATCTCAATATTCAGATGGGACAAAGCTGGGTGGAGGGGCTGTGTAGGTGAGATTGCATAGAAACCTGTAAAATTCTAATAGGACAAGACAGGGTAGATGCAGGTAGGATGTCCCTGGTGGCAGGGGAGTCTAGAACATGGAGGCCCAGTCTAAGGAAACATGATAAACCATTTTAGGACTGCAATTAAAAGCTTCTCTACTTAGAGAGTGGTGTACGTATGGAACTTGCTGCCTCAGAAAGCAGTCAAGGTCAAAACATTGTATGATTTCAAGAGGAAGTTGGATAGAGCACTTGGAACTGAAGGGATCAAACGTTTAATGGGGGGAAAAGTAGGAACAGGCTCTAAAGCTGGATGATCAGCCATGATTGTAATGAATTGCAGAGCAGGCCTACTCCTTCTCCTATTTTCTATGTTTCTATTGACCCCTTAACTGCCATTTTAAACATGCAGTTCACCACCTCATGCCAATGTAACCTCCTAAACTGAATAAATCACACTGAAGCCGTAGCCCTTTTAAGATGAATAGCTGCCTGACAAACTTTTGAATTACCAGAACGTATATGGCAAAAGGAAGTTGGAGAGATCACTGGTGTGTAACATGTACAATCTGCTTTGCAATAACTGTCCAAGGCTTCTTCAACAGTATCTTCCAAAACCGTGATCTCTTCCACTATGAAGGGAAAAGAAATAAAGTGCATGAGAGCATTGCCACATGCAAGCTCCCCTCAACTATACTGAATTGGAAATATATCAGTGTTGTTAACATCCTATGATTTAGTTATCCAACAGCACTGTGCTTGTATCTGCACCCCAAAAACTGTTTCATAGCAGCAACTCCCCAAACCTTCTCAATTAACAGACAAAAAAACAGGCCTTGTCAATGATACCCATTTGACATAAATCCAAAAACGATCAGACTTCAAATATCAGTTTTAAGTTTGTACTTTTGTTGCTTGCTTTGTAAATTTCAAATTACAGGTGCACTTTAAGTAGAATCCCCACAGCATGGAAATAGGCCCAACAAGTCCACATCAACCCTCAAGGTCACCCCACCCAGATTCATTCCTCCTACCCTATCCCGGCAAACTCCACACACAGGCTGGAATCAAACCTGCCCCACTGTCTTAAAACTGGTAGCCTTAGGACCAGTAACTATGCTGGATTACAGAGTTTGCTGGTCTTCTGAAAAAAAAAGTTAATTCAAATTCAAAAGTCTCGAGTACGGGATGCAGGAAAACAAACCAATGTGATTGCAATGTACTTTAAATTAACGGCCATGTTGCTGTTGATAGTTCCCTTCTCAGGCATTTGATTTAATAACTGTTTCATGCCTTGCCCATTTCCTTATATTCTCACAACCTGTTTAAAATGAGACCAAGCAAGAAGAGTGCTTTATGGTGAGCTGAATTTGTGTGTGTGTACCTGCATCGAAAACATTTTGTAGTTCAAAACTATCAATCATGTAATGTAAACTACTTTGGATTTAACGCACATCGTAGCACTGAGGACAAAAGGTCATACACATACAATAAAATAAGCGTTGCACCACAACCCACCACTCAATCTTCGGCAGTGTAGTCAGTACCATAGACTCACGGTTATCATATCCTGAAATTTAAGTGTAATTTTTTGTTTCCTTTTGCAATTTTATTTCTTTTGACTTAATTTGCAGGAAAAACATCATACATGTTGAATATGTGTTGTAATCTATATCTTCTAACTACAAATAGCACTGAATACTTAGAAATTGCTATTTCATGCCAGTAAGGATAAACAGGTACAGTTACAATATAATGTGAATCTAACTTCCTAAGTGGGATACTTTTTACAAACTGCTTAACTTTAATCTGTAGCATATTGTGCATGATTACATATTTCAGTTATGAGAAAGCACCGGTGAGCTCACTCATCCTTAGGAATTTGACGTTACCACCCAAACTTAACATTTGTGAGAAAACCAAATGCTGTCAAATCTTATAGGTCATATTTATATAAAAGATGCCTGAACCAAGGATGAAATTCTAGTTGACCCTTCATGTTTGATTTGACAAATTGCTGCTTTAACATAGATGTACTTCAGTTATCTTTCCTGTGTTCATTTTGTACATTAGCACATTAATGCACTGTCAAAATTTATCTAATGATAACAGACTATAGTTATTTTTGAAACAAAATAAATGCTAATATTTCCATTTATTTGAAGAATTAAATGGACTTTTGGGGGAATTCATGAAGGCACAATCCTAATATAACCTTCTTTGGCATATTGCTTGTGGACTTGGCAAATTTGAGCTGTGTATAATTCTTGCTTTAATTAACTCTAAAGGTTCTTTCTAGAATTACATATTTTCTGTTGTTTAGCAAATAAGGGAAGTCTACCCGAATTAACATTAGCTCAGAAGAACAAGCTGAAACATCTCACCATAGTAAGCTTGGCGGCAAGAATGAAGGTACTTAAGATTTTGTTTGTGCATACATGCTAGGTGTCCAGGGCACATTTCCATGTAGTGATTTTTTTTTTTTTTTTTTTTTTTCCCCCCCCCCCCGATTCAATTTTTGTAGCCAGCATTTGTTTTGTAAGTGGCAATTGCACTTGTGTACGTACAGAGGCATGAATTTAATTTTTCTTTATTTAACTTCCTCAGCAACTATATAGTTACTGTAAGTCCAACATAAAAGTGAACATGAACTGGACGGAAATCCATTGCCAATCTTAGAGTGCAGTATTGTTTGAAATTATCACTCCCCCACTTTAGAGCTATTTAGGAGGCCTTGGATCTATTGAGAGATGCAGCAGAAGGGCCTTAAAACCTTTTATACACAAATGTTTAATTGACAGTAAATGCTTTCTTGGGCCCTTTTTTCTTTCTGTCTTCTCTCTCATATGAACTGTCTGATTGATTTTTTTTTTTTTTATTGAAAGTAAGACTATTCCAGAAACTAGGTGATGCTGTGGGATGTACTATACCCTTTTTCACCTCGGATATAGAATCGAGTTCAACCCAAACTGAAACTGAAAGCCTCCCTGTTTTCCGTCTGTCATGTCTCTCTATGAAATAGTTTGGCTGGTTTTAATCCAATTCCAAAAGGTTTTGGCTGAATGCACAAAAAAAAACTGCCCTGAATTGGCAATTAATTTTGACCCCAGTGGGTGGTTGATGGCAAAAATGTAAAACTGTCGCTTTGAGACTTAAGCACATTTGTTTTGAAACATTGGATGTTTTAGTTGGAGTGTTAACCTCTAACCATAATGTGCTTGATACATGAACGTTTGATACTTGAGTTGTCTGTCTATAGTGTATTCTGTTCCCTTAGATTAATGTACTTGTAATTTTTATTTAAAATTTTCAATATCCTAAGTAAAGGTCAGGTGCCTTATATAGACTTCTAAACCTTTCATGCTTTTTGTCAACATTCATTTTTCTTACTAAACTGAATTTCTTACCTGACTTCTGCCAGCTTGTACTATTTCTGCTGTTTTCCCATAGTCTGATTGCTTTGAAAATCAATACTAAATCAAAATTATAGGAAAAATCAACTAACCATAAGAAAAAGTTTTTTTGCATGGTAATAAACCTGATGGAGAATAGATGCTCAAATGTTATGTTAAACCCATGGTCAGAGTTTCTCCTATGTTCACAGCTTGATGGTTTGACACCATATTCTATTGAATTGCTAAACTGATAGTGCCATTGTGTGTGTGAGACTTGAGGTTATAATTTTACATTTGAGAATGTCCTTCTAATCTTTTGAAATGCTGTACTGAATATATTATATTGGGTTTTATGTTTGTGTGAGAGCAATAAGTTCATATTAGCTGGATATGTTTTATATTAGTGAAACATTGAAACCAAAAATTTGTTCTATTTGTTGCAATTTTGGTAAGATCTTTCAAGAATATTTTACTAAAAATAATGTATGCCTTCATTACAATTTATGTATTTATATTTTTTTATATTTATATTTGTTTTTGACCGGCTGCATTGAGATATCCATTAATGAGGAATCAAAAGGCTTTTTTTGTCATTACATTGAAGTTGTTGACCTTTTCTTTTGTAACTTGGCAGTGCATTCCATATTCCATGCTCCTGAAAGACCTTGACATAAAAAACCTTAGAGAGTTGGAAGATCTGATTATTGAAGCAATTTATACTGATATAATACAAGGCAAACTTGATCAGCGAAATCAGCTTCTTGAAGTTGACTTTTGCATTGGCCGAGATCTCCAAAAGCAAGACATCAGCAGTATTGTTAAAACTCTCCAAGAATGGTAATTGTATTTTTGTTTTATGATGTGGAATTTTTCTTTACAGTAATAATGTATAATGAAAATTTGTATGGGACAATTCCAAAAAAGTCCTTAGAGACTCAGCGTATTGGTGGGAAACTTATTTGATTTCTTATAATTACTACTTTTTCATCACAAACAGGTATGAATAGAACTATTTGGCCTTAAGATGATCTGATCCTACTAAAATGAATTGTCAGTTACGCAGGACTAATTTTATGTCCTTTTTGCTACTTGGGATCATCTGTACAATACGACTTTTACTTTTTTTTACTATAACTAATTGATGTTAATTGTAGTGAAAGAGCAATGTATTGATTTTTTTTTTCTTTGAAACACAATTTTTCAAAAACATCAGTTTTAAAATAGATTCATGAAGTACACGTTCATCACTTGTATTGTCTTTAATCATTGGCAAATGCCATGCACTCTTAAACAGAAATGAGCTAATTTAATGTATTCTTAACGAAGGTGACAGATACCGGAACTAAAATGTCTGAAAAGTAAGGATGTTCCAAAAAATATAACCATATTGGCATTTTGAGTTTTTGATGTGCACTCAATTGTGTCCAAGATCTATGATGAACTGTAATGGAAAAATAATCTGTCAACAAATGTATGTTTTGTTAATTGTGCAAGTTCTTTAAACCTGCAAGTTACAACTTTTCTGAAATGTAACTATACTGTAATTGCATTGTTTTTCTAGTTTATGGAAATGCGTTCATGAATTAACTTAAGCGTCCTTTTAGAAAGTGTTCATATGCAAAATGTTCTATTCTAATAATTGTCCTGTTTCTTGACAGGTGCGATTGTTGTCAAGCAGTTCTGCTGGGCATTGAGCAGCAAGTCCTCCGCGTAAATCAATATAAAGAAGGCCACACAAAAACACAACAGCAGGTAGAAACTGAGGTGAGTTAAGAGGATAAAAATAAGATGATCGACCCATCAATCCTGCATCCATTGATTATGTATAATTTTAGTCTGGGAATTTGATATTGAATCCATAAACTGTAAGGTTACTAAAAACGCTTTACAACATGAAAATACCTTCCAACAAACAAGGAATTTGTAAAGCATTGTTTAAATTTTTTAAATCTAGCCCTGTATCGCCCACCCAACTAATAAGTGGTTTTGTTTATTCCACCTAACTTTTGCAGCACTGCTTTTCAACTATTTAGGGATCACTCACAGTAACAGTGGATAACACCACGGAGTTGAACTTTCCTGCTCCGTAGACAAGGGTACTTAACCTGGCATTATTGGGATATATTGCTTGTCAATGAATTGAGTTGCCTTTTGACAACGAACTGCACTTTTGTCACCAGGTTAGACATCACCTTCACTGAAAATGATATTATCCAGGCAGGCATGGTGTGTAATTAACCTCCTCCTCCACTAAACCCTCTGTAAAAACTCTATGAACTAGTGAGAGGCCCAAATAATGCTGCATACTACCAAGAAGTCTCCTCCACAGACTAAATGGCAGATTAATCATTTATCCAACTTGGTAAATAAGGAGAGTATCACTTGACTTTGCAGATTCCTATTCGTTCAGCAAACGAATCTGTCCCTATCAACAATTATTGTATTCCTCTTTCCCATGTGCTCATCTAATGTACAGTTGAATACATCTACCTAACTTCTTGATTCTAACTACTTTTCCTGGGAAAATAAATTTCTCCTGAAGTTCTCAATGAAAATTATTAATGACTATCCTCTATTTTTTGGCTCCTCATTCTTGTCTCCTCTGCAGATTGCATCTCTTTTGGTCACTCTGACAATTCTTTTGATAATTTTGAAGAGCTCTCAGGTTACCCCTAAGTCAGCTTCTTGACCTTAAAAAAAAAAACCCAGCCCTGTTTAGTCTTTGTGACATCATCATTGTTTATAAATTGAATGTTTGTCCTGAGGTTACCTCAAAGTATTCTTGAAAGTATGCAATAAATCCCTTGCTATCAGCTAATACATCTGCTTCCTGCTCCACTCTTTACATTTTTCATTACTCCTTCTCAGTTCCTCCTGATTTCTTTGCCAAATCCCATTATCACTTCCTTTATGTAGACTTTTTCTCTTGCCCCTGTTGGCTGCTTTGTACCACTATTCTCTCCTACAGGTGATAGGAACCAGAGAGAACAGGAGATGGTGGCGGAACGGATTGCGGGGAGTGATATGAAGTCGAGGGAGGGCAGTGAGTTGTAGGAAGTCAAGTGAACAAATGGTGTAGGAAGTGATGGAACAGATGGAGGAATTTGGGAGGGAGCAGTGGTTGGAGCAGATGCACAATAATAGCGTCAGTGACAGGAGAAACTGAGCATCCAACAGTAGACAGAAAAATTGAAGTTTCTCTTCCTGTTAAGTGGCAAGTGTTTTGTGATTATTTGAACTTTACATGTTACAAAGACTGATCAGCCATTTTTTAATTTTGCTGAATATGGGATCTTGCTACGTTCTGAAGTCTTACAATGTAACAGTGGGTTAACTTAATTTGCTCTAAAGTACACTGAAATGTCTTAACATCACGGACAGTGCTGTATATATGTCTTTCTTTTTGGAAGTGAATGTATTTCAAAAGTAATCCATTAGTGGTGGTGTCAGACTGAAAGACCCTCCAAGTACAATGCAGCTCAATGTATGTGTTTATCCCCCACACCCCACCTACCAACTCTTGAATCTTATTAAAGTAGTTACTGTATTTTAAGTAAAATGGTTCCTTTTTTTTGTTGTAAATTCTCATGTTTGGATTACATGACATTTAATGAATGCCCCCTGTGGTGGGGTGTTAGGTTGTGCGAGATTTACTTTTCAATTCATTAACAAGATGAGAGTTAAACCAGCATTTGTTGCCCATCTGTGTAATTATTAACATGCAGTTATACAACTAGCGGTCAACTGTATTGATGTGGTTCTAGAATCATATGTAGGCCAGACCAGGAAAGGATGGCAGATTTTCTTGCCTAAAGGGCATTTCTGAACGAGATTTTTTTTTTATTTTTAGCAATTGCTATTAGGCTAGCTTTTAATTCCCAGATGTTTTTAAAAATTGAATTCAGATTTTGTCATCTACCATGGGGCAATACAAATCCGTTTCCCCAGAGCATTTAACCTGGGCTCTGGATTACTAGCCTAGTGACATTACCTCTCCATTACTGCCTTTCCACATGGTGAGAACTATATTTTTCTAATTCAATATTGAATTCCCTGCCTTAAAATGGGTCCTAAGGATTATAGGGCCTTGGAGCATCACTGAGATCAGGAAAATGGCACTGTAAATGCAAATCTTCCTTTTTTCACTTTTTTATACTTTCAAATTTATTGTTCTGTGCCAGTTGGGTTCTCAAACCTAACACGTTTGATGCCCATAACCCAGCAATATAAAGAATAGTAGTTGCTGCGTAGGCAAAAGTAATCTGATATACAGGCTGTGTGTTTTTAAAAAAAAAACCCAAAGTTTTCAAGTCAATTTTTTATTCCACAAAAATCCCAAATAATTTCGTCTTATAAGTGACCAGTAATTGCACTTTTTTTTTCCCAATGTAATTGCTTCATTGTGGTAATATCTTCAGTTATAATTGCTGTTAGACATTTAAAATATAGCTGAACAGCAAAGGGGAAGATAGTAGGGATTTGAACATGACAGTTACTAAGAGATGGGACAAGTACGTAACAGTCTGATACACTTCAACATTACAAGCATGCATGAATAGTTATGTAGCTGGCATGGCAGACTCATTGGATTTAATAAATGACATTTAAAGGTCAGTGCTGTGTATCATGATTCTATGTTCTACAACAAGAATTACATGAATATTGATGGCTGAGATTTTTTGCTTTTTAAGGTGGCGAACATAAAGAAGACGTTGAAGGCAACAGCATCTACCTCAACACAAGATCCTGATCAGCATCCGATGGATCGTGACACTCCACAGCTTGTTGAACAGCGTCCATCCACAAAGAAATTGTCAAAATCTAAAAGTTTATCATCCAGCCGTCATTAGAAGAATAAGTTGGCAGAATTATTCCAATGCTTATCGGGAAGCTGGAACTGAGAAGAAATGGGAATATAATGAACTGAGCAACGGTTCTCCTAAATGGCACGTGAAAAGAAATTTGAACAACTTTTTTTGTGCAAATGAAATTTTTTTTTGTAATACACAGATTTTATAATAATAGAAAGCTAACTACTGAATCATCCTTTCCCATTAAAAGGTACTGGTTGCAAACTGACTTCTGAAGTAATAAAGGATTTTTATATTGCATATGTTCATATTTGTTCACTATTCCCTACAGTGGCTGATTATAAATCTGTTGGTGCAGAATAACTTTTGTGGTAGAATGAAGTCACTTTAAAAGTAACTATAGTTAGTGTTTTGATTAGCATTCTTTAGAATAAGGTAATAACGTGTTGCACGTAACTCGTACAAATTCTTTGCTCCATAAATCAGGTGTTCAATAATCTCAAAATGAGGCCTTCCAAAGAGCCAATGGATTTGAAATATAGTTGCTCAAGAACATCATACAAAGAGATGAAAACTGTACTTGGTCCTTAGATGCAATTAATGGTTTATTACGCATCAGTTTTAAAAGAAAAAAGGAACAACGTGGACTTTTTTTTGAAAATTCCATTTCAAAACAAAGGTTGATCAACACAAAATTGGAGTAATGACATTGCATGGAATTGTGTTTAAGAATCTAAGGATGTACTAGTTGCATAATTTTATGAATGGGCAATCTGTTAGTTGTACTCAAATATGACTACATTTATCCAATGAAAAACAAAAGCACATCTCTAAATCTGGTGCATTGTTTGAGACAGCAGTCTAGAAATTAATTTCTAAAGCACCATATCTGGCAGCATTACAAAGCATTTATGCCACTTGCTAGTTGACTATTCAATCATCTGTTGTGTCTTTTGAGCTGTTTAGGATATGAGGGCAGTAGAAGGAGGGAATGGTTATGTTCCCTTTGAGTGCTAAAATAGCTTATACTAGTACTATCCTGACAAACCATTTACTGTGACACTGGATTCAAATCCTCACTTATGGAAGTCCAATGTTCAAATGTACATGATACGCCATAGATCAAGGTGCAGTTATAAGACAGAACCTGAACCCGTACAGCTGAAAGGCTGCTACACATTGCATGTGGTTTTTAGTAATGGTTACTGGTGCAAAGTTCTGTGTTGGTTTCCTGAGGTCTTCAAAGCCACTTCAGAATAGCTTCCATTAGCACCAGGGTATGGGATAATAAAATCGGAGAAACCAATTTTTACAAGGAGAGCAGCAAGTGAATAGAGAGATGCAGGGTGCAGCAGTCCAGTGTTACTTTAAAATTGCATTTAGTAGCTCTTTCCATGACTTAGATGTCTCAAAACACTTTACAGCGAATGAAATGAAGTGTCGCCACTGTTGTAAAATCTCAAATCCAACTAATTTCTGCTCAACAAACTCCTACAAACAGTGATGGCCAAATAAACTTTCTTGTTATGTTGATTTGAATGAGAAAGATTGGTCAAGGCTAATAGCTGTGTTTCCTACATGATGACAGCAATAACTGCAAAATACTATATTGGCTTTTAAACTCTAAATTGTCCAGAGGTTTGAAAAACAGTATGTCAAAAGAAGTTATTCTTCTATTTGCATCCACTTTAAAGCATGTAATCCTAAAAAAGCACTATATGGTATCTACGTTGCAAGGACTGCAGCAATTCAAGAAGACAACAGGTAGTGGGTTTTGTTTTGTTCATCTGTGGGATGTGGACATCGCTGGCTGGGCAGCATTTCTTGCCCATCCCTAGTTGCCTTTGAGAAGGTGGTGGTGAGCTGCCTTCTTGAACTGCTGCAGACCACCTGCTGTGGGTTGAACTACAATGTCATCAGGGAGTAAATTCCAGGATTTTTGACTCCGCGACAGCAAAGGAATGGCAATATATTTCCAAGTCAGGATAGTGAGTGGCTTGGAGGGGAACTTGAAGGTGGTGGTGTTCCCATATATCTGATACTCTTCTTCTAGATGGAAGTGGACATGGGTTTGGAAGGTGCTGTCTGAAGATCTTTGGTAAATTTCCGAAGTGCATCTTTTAGTACACGCTACTGATGGAGGGACTGGATGCCTGAGGATGTAGTGCCAATTAAGTAGGCTGCATTGTCTCCTGGATGGTGTCAAGCTTCTTGTGTAGTTGGGGCTGCACTCATCCAGGCAAGTGGGACATATTCCAGTCACACTCCTGACTTGTGTCTTGCACATGGTGGACAGGCTTTGAGAAGTCAGGAGGTGATTTATCCGCTGCAGTATTCCTAGCTTTTGACCAGCTCCTGCAGCTACTGTGTTTGTGGTGAGCCCAGTTGAGTTTCTGGTTGATGATTACCCCCAGGAAGTTGATAGTGGAGCATTCAGTGATGCTAACACTAGAATGCCAAGGGGTAGTGATTGGATTGGCTCTATTGGTGATGGTCATAGCCTGGCATTTGTGTAACATGAATATTACTTGTCAGTTGTCAGCCCAAGCCTGGATATTGTCCAGGTCTTGTTGCATTTTAAAAATGGACTGCTTGGGAAAGGAAGTATTTTCAAATCTATTTTGTATCAATGTTAAAGTTGAAGATTGTTTACAATAATATTCCTCCATGTAGCAAGGTATACATCAGAACAAAATAAGCAATTGACAGTGCAATTATTGAAAAACTCTAAGGCAACCAAAAACTGCTGAATGTAATACGTTTGTAATCTTCATAAAATGTGAGAGACTAGGGATTGTTAACCAAAGTAGCTTAACTTTTTCATTGTGAAATTGAGGTAGTTTGTTACTAAGAGATTTTTCTTTTAATTGGTGCATAAGGGTCCAATTATGTGAGAATTATTCAAGAAAATTCAGTGGATTCAACCAGATGAATCATGACCTCTACCACCTGGAACAAGAAGGGCAGCAGATGCACGAGAACACCAGCTGCAAGTTCCCAAACCCCCACCCCCAACAAAGTCTTACACCATCCTAACTTGTTCCTTCGTTATTGCACAATCGTTATCCTGGAATTCCCTCCCTAACAGCATTATGGTGTCTCTACACCCCTAACGACTTGGAGCAGTTTAACACTGCCACTCCAGGGCAGTTATGGATGGGAATTAAATATTCATCACGCCAGTGATGCCCAATCCCAGGAATGCAGGAAACTTATTTTTTTCTTTATATGAGGAATTGGGTGCAGCTTAATTCAGAAAGACGTGATATACAGTAGTTACATTTTGGAAAAAATACCCACTCTTGTGAAATAAAATGTCACTAAATGATTCTTAGACATAATTTTGCTACTCTCAAGGCTTCTATGGTTTTGTTTCCATGGACAGATCTTCCCTTTATGCCTTTAAAAATAGAGTTTAAACCTTTGTTTGATATCATAAATGGCTAGATATTATTTTCTGGTGCAATTCAATATTAAATGACTCCAGTGGTGCAGAATGTTTTCAAAAATTGTGATCCCCAAAGGGTCACCAGGTGACTTAGTTTTTTGTTGTAAAGAAGCTTACCATATCAAGTGCATCAAAAGTTCTAACAAAATTTCTGCAGAATGCCTTTTGTAGCAATGGCATTTTATACAGACTAATATGACTAGCTATATATAGTGAACATAGTAAATCTTCCCACTTATGGGTTGAGCCAGGAATTGGTGATGGATGACTGTTAGTTTGGAAGTAATATTGTTACAATAAACTGGTAGTAATGCTAATTCCAATTGTTCGGAAGGAATTGGATTGATTGCTTGTACAACAGAAAGTTAACGAAATAAGGGTTTGGAATACAGAATGTTTAGGAACAGAGTGGTCAAATTAGATTCTTAAAACAGGTCTCCAAAACCGAGCAAACTGCTTATATTTAGTTTGTCAGTTTTAAACAAAATACTCATGGAATAGGTTCATCAGTGGCAAAACCAGTATTTGCTGCCCATCCCTTGCTGAAGGTGATGGTCAGCAGCCTCCTTAAATCACTGCAGTCTTTGCAGGGACGTTAGAGTTGGTTCCAGTATTTTAATTCATATTTATTTTCTAAATGTTCACTTTTTTTTTGTGGAAACAATTTAGGCTGCTGTGGAGTAAGTGGGCTTTTGAACCATTTCTGGTAATAACAACATAATTATAGTAAGAGCAAATTACTGCAGATGCTGGAATATGTACTGACAACACATTCATGCCAGAAGTCCCAGCAGGTCAGGCAGCATCCGTGGAATGAGAGAAAAAACTAACGTTTCAAGTCTAGATTACTCCTCATCAGAGGTCTGAAGAGTCATCCAGACCAAACATTAGCTTGCTGTCCAACGAACCTGCCTGACCCACTGTGATTTTCAGCATTTTTTTTTGTTTTCAATAATTATGGTAACATTAAGTTATTCAAAATATTCCGTGTTAAAATACTAAAGATTCTGGAAATCTGAGAATGAGCCTCAGGTCATGAAATGCCAACTGGATGATTTGTTTCTCAACAGCCATTGCCTGCCCTATGGAGTATTAATAGTTTCTTTTTTTCCCAAAAATAACCGCAAGATAGTTTCAAAAATTAATGAAATGAATTAATTTTGAGCCACTAGAGGGAAGCAAACATCATGTTTTCACTGTTCTTCATTCTAGTTAGATTAAGTTTCTTGAGATAATGCAAAGGATTTGGCATAATTTTCATTTTAATTTCATGTAGATATATCTTTTATTGACTCCATCTGATCGTACTTTTTTTAATTTTGTGATATGTGATTTCTATTACTACCTAAACCTTTTCTAGATGCAACTTTTTGTTTCTTTGTTTGTTCCATTTATTATGCTCTTTTTAGCTTTGGAACCATTAACCTTCTTGTTATTTAATTTCTTCTACCTTCACACCTATAAAAGAGCTGCCTTTTGTTCTTTCCTTGCATACCATTTCCCTACCTGTGCAATTGCTTTTTTAAAAAAGAGAATTTTTCACCAATTCTTATGAGAGGCTGCTAATGTGAAATATTAACTTTATTCTTCTCACAGATGCTCCCCTAACAGCTGAATATTTTCAAAATATGTACTGTTTATTTTAACAATTTGTGGAATTTTGTCCTGATGAGGACTTTATTGCACAAATATAAGGTTAGTTTTTGTAAAGGAGTCAATTCTAATTTTCTTGGGTGGTAATAAATACTGTTCTGTGAGAGCTGGAGCCCCTTGACCGAAAACAGCATGAATAGAGACTGCAAAACAAAGGAAGACAAAAGCAGAGGAGCCAGAGAATGAAGTTGATCAGACCACCTATACAGATTGTAATGCCAAGAGGGCAGAGAGTTTTGTTTTCAAACAAGTATTTTTAAATTGAATAGTGGTGGATTTTAAAATGGATGGTATCAACCATAGAATGAGCAAGTTGGCTACTTCTAAAATTTTCATCAGTTACCAAGGCAAAAGCTAACCTATTGTTTTCAAGAAACACACTTCCCTGTTTGAATATTTTAAACAAAACAATACAACAAAATATAGATGAGATGGCTGCTTCAGCTGATTATGAACAATGGAAACCAATGAAACATGAGGGACTTGGTGCTAAAGACTCCATAGTTATCTGTTTAAAAAAAACAACATCCGTCCTGCCCAGGACATCAAACCCCATCTCATTAACTGAGGGACTAAGCTAGAATTACCTTGGTTTGAATTGCCTTTCATTGTAATTTTTTCTTATTTCATTCTCAGTAATGCCAAGAGAGCAAGCTGCTCCAATCTTAGATAGCACTTGTCTCTAATTGTACTCCCTCAAAGGAATCTTTCATTTCACCTGCAAAATGAACCCATTCTTCGGTCACAGCTGCTGCACCTTTGCCCACAATTCAACCATGTCAGAGTTCCTGCAAAGAGACTTCTTTGCATAACCAACTCCAAGGTATGTTGTTTTCTTGCATTCTTTATATTCACTGGCCAATATCTTTGACCTTAAGTAATTTGTTTTTGTAACATCTCTCCTTCATTGTGTGTGTTGAGAGAGTGTGACGTGTTGTAAACACATCCAGTTTTTGAATGCACTTCTTTGTTTTATCCATAAAATATGCTGAGTTTAATTTTCAAATTGAACTCTACAAACAGGATTTGGGGGAGCAGACCACTTCCTTAAAAGGAAAAAGAAAGTAAAAGATTTTATTTTTTTAAAAAAAATTCCTGTTACGTACAGGAGAGGAAAGCTGTAAAATAATTCCATTCACCTCCCCTTGTCCGTGACAACCCCTCGATCTTTAAAAAAGGCAGGCAGGACCCAGATATTTTATTTCTATTCCTAGCAGATTCAATATTTATCAGCAAAGGAAGGGGACCAGGAGATGAATCAAGTGGGGAAACACCAAACTTGGTAGGACTATTTGGACTCCTTGCTGAATTCAACCAGTACCACATTTTGCTAGAATAAAAACCGTATCCTGCAATGTGTGAATCAAGAATTTTAAGTAAGCATAAACACATGAAGCTTAAAGAAGGTCTGTAGAACTGTCAAGCTGTGAATTTATTTAAATAACCTGGTCTTTAAACTTTGAAAACAAATAGCCTGCCTGCCTCTGAGTTGAAACAAAAATGGTTCTAGCAGTTTCAGTAGCTGTTGGTTGGTATAAACCCTAGTGCTACTATTTCAACATAATCTCTGCTTCACTGCTTTCTACAATTTATCATTATTACAATAGTCAGACTAAAAATTCAAAGTTTGCTCAAATGCATTAAGTAAAACTATCTTAATTGGCCTTGAATAATAATTATTTGTTTCGTAAGGAATCAAGTGCTTGAGGGAATCTATATCTATTGAATGGGTTTTCATTACCTTTTTTATCTAAATATCTATCCAAGGCTACATTTAAAAATATTTTATTTCTAGCATGTTTCCTGTGGTCTGGCAATTGTGGTACTAGATGAGTTGACATAGGGGACATTTTGGGAAAAGATGATATATATGTAATAAAAACCGAAAGAACTGCAGATGCTATAAATCGGGAACAAAAACAAAGTTGCTGGAAAAGCTCAGCAGGTCTGGCAGCATCTGTGGTATACATGCGTCTGAGTTGGTATGGGGTTTTAAGGGAACAGCTGAGAATCAGGAGTTGGGACAATTGGCATAGGGACTGTTAAAAAGCAATGGATTGGCATGTATGGGCACGAGTATAGGATGAGGATTCGGGGATGTGTGGAATGAGGCTTAAATGATTTAATGTATAAGAAAAAATCAGGCAGAAACTTTTTTAACCAACTGACCTCAGGTAATCACCCCTTTCCCCCCCCCCCCCCCAAAGCCGTGATTCCTCTGATCTGTATCCTGACCTAATGGACTTAATTCCTTTTCTCCCCTCCCACCCCCAATCTTGGAACAGAGATCCTACCGTGTAATGCACTTTTTCGTAAGCTGGGTTTTGTAAGAGATGCATGCAGCTGGCTTCTTGTTGTAAGGGGAAATTTGCTAGATGTTTACATTAAGCATTTCTTGCTGGAAAAACAAATCACGCTTTGTTAAAAACATTTGTCTTGCATTCCTCAGGACAATTTGCAAGAAATACCAAAAATAAGGGAATATAACATTTATACTGTGAGAGGACAGTGTTTCTTGGTTGGCCAGAATACTCTGTTTGGAAGACACATTGCCATAGAGAACACACCAGTTAATAATGACTGGCAGGTAACTGCCAAACTTCTAACAAATTTTAAATAAGTCAGGTTGATGCTGATTGACCAAGGAATTGCCCTGAGAAACGAACCAGAAAATGACTGCCCCCCTCTTAAAACACCTTCTTGAGGTGTATCCCAATTTCATTCTTGTGACTTTTTTTTTAAATAACTGACCACCCTATGAACAATGTAAAGTATTCACTATCAAAAATACTTCGTTCTCTATTATTTATCTCTTCAACTCTGCAAAGGAGGTTGAGAGCAAAATGTACTTTGTTCTTCAGAAGGAAACTGTCTAATTCTGGATAATATAAGTATGTTCTGTAAATTGGTCTTCTATATGTCTCAAAGAATATTTTGATATTTCTTTAATCTTAGTTTGTTTCCCTATGTAGCATCAGATCAGTAAGTTACAACTTTGTTTCTCAGTGAAGGAATTTTGTCAGATAATACAGTGACACTAGCTCCTGTATCAAGCTTGAATTGAATTGCATGTCCATTGACCTTTTAAGTGCTCTGTCATATCTGGTTCATATGAGTTGTCTGTTTCCCTTGGGAATGGCTGTGGTATTTCTTTTAATGGAAGTATATCATCTGAAGATACATGTTCTAATGAAAGTCTATCTTGGGAGTCACTTTGTTCTTTTGGCGTTTGGTTGAAAGTTTGACTTATTTGTGGACATTATTGTGTCTGTTGTGTAAGGATTGTTTCTGGTTTTCACATTTTGTGAAAATATCAATTATCTTACAAAAATGATATTTTTATTATAGAGCTGAACATCACTTTTTTGATTGTATTTTTCTTTGCTCCACATCTTGGACAAAAGCTCCTGACATCCAAAGATTTGAATACTCTGCATTAATTTGTCATGTCGTTGTTTTGTACTTTATGAAGTTGATAGGTTTCAATAGTCTTTTGGGATAAATTTATTTTTCTGTTCTCCAGATTTTCTGTGGAGTTCCAGATTTCGGCTTCTACCACAGTCTGGATTGCCTTTTCCAGAGCGAGAAGTTTGATTGTGAAAGATTTGAAAGAAATTAATCAAACTCTGACAATACTGTCACTAATTAGTCCTGTTGTAAAGCTCCATTTTCACAAGATTCAGATAATGTATAAAGATCATTGATGAAGTTATCAGCAGGTACTTGGAGAAACTGTATACCTTGAGTGAATCTTATTCTTTCCATAACACAACTTGGTCTTAAACTAAAATAGTTATTTGATATTTTTAAGATAGTATCAAAGGTATCAGTATTTTCTGTAGTATTTTGTCTGTTAATTACATGGTCTGCGCATAGTACCATAGAACAAAGCAGTGGTTTAACATTTTCTGCTTCTAAATTTGTGTAGACTTAAAATGATTCTGTGTCTCATGAATTGTTTGTTCCATGTTGATCAATATAATTCTCTGTCTGTATCTGTAAACTTGAATTTGCTTGGACATATAAGAATTTTCTCTTTCTTTTTTTTTGTTTTAAATTAAATTGCTCCCTTTAAATTTTTAAAATTTTTTAACATTAATTAAAATCTTTATTTTTTCTTTCAGTTTGTTTTGTGATGCATTTTGGAAAGGCAAATCAGGGCAGCACTTGTACACTTAACGGTACGGTCTTGGGGTGTGTTGCTGAACAAAGAGACCTTTTTGAGTGCAGGTATATGTTCCTTGAAAGTGGAGTCACAGGTACATAGATAGTGAAGAAGGTATTTGGTATGCTTGCCTTTATTGGTCAGTGCATGGCGTATCGGAGTTGGGGGCTCATGTTGTGCTGTACAGGCATTGGTTCAGCCACTTTGAGTATTGCGAGCAAATCTGGTCTCCCTGCTATAGGAAGGATGTTGTGAAACTATTTATGAGGACGTTGCCAGGTTTGGAGGGTTTGAGCTGTAGGGAGAGGGTGAATAGGCTGATGCTATTTTCCCTGGAGAGTCGGAGGCTGAGGGGTGACCATACAGAGATGGACGAGAGGCATGGATAGAGTAAATAGGCAAGGTCTTTCCCTAGGGTCGGGGAGTTCAAAACTAGAGGGCATAGGTTTAAAATGAGAGGGGAATGATTTAAAAGAGACCTAAGGGGCAACTTCTTCATGCAGAGGGTGGTGCGTGCGTGGAATGAGCTGCCAGAGGAAGTGGTGAAGGTTGGTGCAAATACAACATTTAAAAGCATCAGGATAGGAATATAAATAAGAAGGGTTATGGGCCAAACGCTGGCAAATGTGACTAGATTTATAAAGGATATCTGGTTGGCATGGACGAGTTGGACTGAAGGGTCTGTTTCCATGCTGTATATCTCTCGGACTCTATGATTCTAAAGTTCTGAGCAATGAAGGTAAGCATGCTAAATACCACCTTAACCACCCTGTGATGCAAACTTCAAAGAATTATGTACCTGCACCTTTAGGTCTCTCCGTTCTACAACACTACCCAGGGCCTTACTGTTAATTGTATAAGTCCTGTCTTCATTTATTTTACTAAAATGCAATATCTCACATTTATCTAAATTAAACTCCACCTGTCACTCCTCACTTGTATCAATCACTATGAAGTCTCACCAATGAAATGGAACTGGATAGACCTGGCATTGTCTTTTCTGGTGTCTGGGGCAATGGCAAAAACAGCTCTGCTGACCGTGCAAGGACCTCCTTACTAACATCTGGGGGCTAGTGCAAAAACTGGGAGAGCTGTCACATTGACGAGTCAAGCAACAGCCTGACATATCATATTCATGGAATTACCATGTTCCAGATACCACAATTACCATCCCTGGCACAGAGGTATAGAGTCAAGAGGAGTTGACCGAAAACTCCTTAACATTGACTGTAGACCCCAGGAAGATTCATAGCATCAGCTTAAACATTGGCAAGGAAGTCTCCTGCTGAGTACTATATACTGTCTTCTGTTAGCTGGTGAATCAGTATTCCTCATTGACCAGCATTAGAGGAAGCAGTGAGGGTGGCAAGGGTGCATAATGCGCCCTGGGTGGGGGATGTTAACATCCACTATCAAGAGTGCCTCAACAACAACACTACTGATCAAGCTGGTCAGTAGCGTAAAGAACATAACTGCTAGATTATGTCTACAACAGGCAGTGAGGGAGCCAATACAAAAGAGAATGATATTTGACTTTATCCTCAATAACCTGCCTCCCGCAGATGCATATAATCCATGACCATATCAGTAAGGGTGGAGGTAAAGATCATAGAATCCCTCCAGTGTGGAAACGGGCCATTTGGCCCAGCAAGTCCACACCAACTCTGAAGAGAATCCCACCCAGACTCATCCTCCTACCCTACATTTCCCCATGGCTAATCCACCCAACCTAAACATCCCTGAACACTATGGGCAATTTAGCATTGCCAATCCACCTAATCTGCACATATTTGGACTGTGGGAGGAAACCGGAGCACCCACAGGCAGAATGTGCAAACTCCTTACAGACAGTCGCCCGAAGCTGGAATTGAACCAGGGTCCCTGGCGCTGTGAGGCAGCAGCGCTAACTACTCAGCCCCTGTGTCACTTTCATGTTGAGTGGCAGTATTACTCTGCTAAATGGAACAGACTTCAAACAGATCTAGCAACTTAACACCTAACGGATGCCTAGTCTTGTAAGCCATCACCAGCAGAAGAATTGTTCTTCAGTGCAATCTGCAAACTCCGGGCTTGGCATATCCTTCCACTGAACCATTACCATCAAGCCAGGGGATGAACCCTGGGTCAATGGAGAGTGCCGGAGGGCATGCCAGGAGTAGCATCAGGCATACGTTAGAATGAGGTGTTAAAGTGGTGACGGTACCAAACAGGACTACTTGTACGCCAAACGCATAAGCAGCAAACCATAGACAAAGTGAAGTTATCCCACAACCAACAGATCAGATGTAATCCTGTTGTGTCAAGCCGTGAATGGTGGTAGACAATTAAATAACTCACTGGAGGAGGAGGTTCCACAAATATCCCCATCTGCAACGATGGAGAGCCCAGCACATCAGTGCAAAAGATGAGGCGGAAGCGTTCACAGCAATCTTCAGCCAGAAGTGGATAATCCATCTCAGCCTCCTCCAGTGGTCCCCAGCAATACAGATACCAGTTTTCAGCCAATTCAATTCACTCCACATGATGGCAAGAAACGGCTGGAGGCACTGGATACAGCAAAATGATATGGGCTTTGACAAATTTTTAGCAATAGTACTGAAGATTGTGCTCCAGAACTTGCTGCTCCCCTAGCCAAACTGTTTCAGATAGCTACGAGATGCAGCTGTACCATTTAGTGTGGATAATTATCCATGTATGTTCTGTACACAAAAAGCAAGACAAATCCAACCTGGCCAATTACTGTCCCATCAATCTCCTTCCAATCATCAGTAACATGAGGGTAGGTGTCATTAACAGTGCTATCAAGCAGCATCTACTCAGCAATAACCTGCTCAGTGACACCCAGTTCGGGTTCTGCCAGGACCACTCAGCTCCTGACCTCATTACAGCCTTGGTTCAAACATGGATAAAGGAGCTTAGTTCCAGGGATGAGGTGTGAGTGTTAGTCCTGGACAAAAAGGTCACGTTTGACCAAGTGTGTGGCATCAAAGAGCTTGGCAAAACTGTAATCCATGTGAATTGGGGGCAAACTGTCTGATGTTTGGAGTCATACCTAGGAAGCTATCATCATACATAGGAAGATGAGTATGGTTGTTGGAGGTCAGTTATTGCGGTTCTAAGACCTCTCTGCAAGTGTTCCTCAGGGTAGTGTTGTAGGTCCAATAATCTTTAGCTACTTCATCAGTGACATTCAATGGTGTTACAATCACTGAATCCCCCACTATCAACATCCTGGGGCTTACCATTGACCAGAAACTCAACTGGACTAGTCTTATGTATACAGTGGCTACAAGAACAGGTCAGAGGGTAGGAATACTGCAGTCAGTACTCGCCTCCAAATTCCCCAAACTATGTCCACAGTCTACAAGGCACAAGTCAGGAGTGTGATGGAATACTCCCCATTTGCCTGGATGGGTGCAACTCCAACAACACTCAAGAAGCTTGACACTCCAAGACAAAGCAGACCACTTAATTGGCCCCACATCGATAAACGTCCACTCCTTCCATCATCGACACCGAGTAACAGCAGTGTGTATTATCTACAAGGTGCCCTGCAAAAATTCACCAACGATCCTTTGACAGCACTTTCCAAACCCACAACCACTTCCCTCTAGAAGGACAAAGGCAGAAGACTCATGGGAACACCCACCACCTGCAAGTTCCCCTTCAAGATATTCACCATCATGACGTGGAAATATATTGCCATTCCTCCACTTTTGGTGAGTAGAAATCCTGTCCTGAAAGCGCTTTGGGTCAACCTACAGCATGTGGACTGCAGCAGTTCAAGAAGGCAACTCACCACCACCACCTCAACGACAACTAGGGTTGGGTCATAAATATTGGCCTAGACAATGACTGTCACATCCTGTGAGTGATATAAAAAATAAAACTTCTCCACTAATAACATTCTCAAAAAACTCCAAATAAATCTGTGAAACATGATTCTTCCTTATAAATTCATGTTAACTCTGCCTAATCTGTTCAAATTTACTAAGTTTTTTTTTAAAAAGTATTTTCTCAGAAAAAGATCAGTTTTCATGTTTGAAAGTAAAGGAGAATGGAGGTCTTGGAGGTACTCTGTGAAAGGGCATCCTGGCCAATTGAATGAATAGCTCCAAGGTGCTAATGTGTTTTCCTTGAAGTAGCCAAATTGCGATTCAAGGTGTTATTAATTGTTCAGTTGGAAAAGGAGCTCTAGAAAACTACACCATCAGGACAGTAATAACCCAAGGGAGAAAGGGTTCATAGAAATATGCCTGCCAATGATAATCATATCTGTAAAACTTGAAGGTGTTGGATAGAATTCCTGACTTACCCTGCATGAATAAAGAACAGCATATTGAGGACCACAAATAAAAAAAAACAAAAGAACTGTGGATGTTGGAAATCAGAAACAAAAATGAAATTGCTGGAAAAACTCATCAGGTCTGACAGCATCTGTGGACAGAAATCAGTGTTAACATTTCGGGTCCAGTAATCCTTCTTCAGAACTTGTGGTTCAACATTTGTGCATGGTGTAAATGCTTGAGCTTCTGTATGATGTACCTTTTTGTTGTGTCAACTACTTTAAAGTGAAGTTTTCTCACTTAATTGTAGTATAATTTACCTATAATTTACATTGATTGATTGTGATTTGTGCTAAAGGTTACAAAAAGTGAAATCTCGTTGATAATTTCTTCACTGAGGTCATTCGGTAAAATTTGTTACTTTGGTTTACCATTCCCCACAGGATTGTTGTTTTATTCAACGAGGTATAACTTTTCCAAGGATATTTGTAATGAGATAATTCAAGTTTGAATTTGATTTCTAAGATTTTGGCCTGCAAATACTCTAATGGGTACATTTTACAGAGGAAGACGTATGATTGACAACAATTTCTAAATTGCCACTTCTAACTGCATATGGAGTTTTGCAGTGTAACAGTAGTGAATGCTGACAGCTTTTCTGATAA